GCTTTTAGGAAAGAGAAGAGACTGGCAAATGAGCTGGTGATTGGGGAGCTTTTAGATGTTTCCAAGCTTTGAATGATGTTTTATGAGAAGCCTGAGTTTTTTAAAAAAAGAAAATCCAGAAAAGTGTAGGTGGACTCAGCCCATTCACAATCAAGGCAAGTTTCTCTCCAAACTGATATGAGTGGGTCTAACAATTTCTCATTCAGCTGAGATTGATATTCCGTCAGCAAAGGTCAGACTGTCACTTTCCGTATAGCAAAGGGGATTTGTGCCTATAGCACACATAGGTAGTACATAAACGCATTGATTAGTGTTACAATTTGTCCACAAAGACAGGTTCCTGCAAAGCAGTATTATGGGGCCTGAGGACCAGGGTGGACATGGAACTTCTGGCTTATTTATATGTTTCTGAGAATGAAAAACTCCATGTGGCGTGAGACCTTCCTGCTTACCTCAACATCTGTACATATGGTACTGCATCTGAATGGTGTGGATGTACAGAATTTATGGCTACAGACATTAAGGACTGCCTCTCCCCCATATGAACTGACCTGGACCCTGTAATAATCATCTAAGGCCCTTCTTTATGTGCCTTCTCCACAAAAGGTCAGAAGAGTGACAACATGAGAACAGGCCTTTTCCTTGCAGTCTTCCTGTTTGTGGAATGCTCTTTGAGGAAGGCTCATCTGGTGCCTTCATTACATATCTTTAGGTGCTAGGTGAAAACATTTCTCTACAACCAGGCCTCTGGCTGATCAGCATTCCATGGCCTTTTAAATGTGTTTGTGGGAGGGGTTTTGTTTTGTTATTTGGTTTTTGTTTTGTTTTGTTTTGTGTGTGTTGTGAACTGCCCTGTGATCTTTGGATGAAAGGTGGTATAGCAATTTAATAAATACCGTATTTTTCGCTCTATTGGACGCACCGGACCACAGGACGCACCTAGTTTTTAGAGGGGGAAATCAAGGAAAAAAATATTATCCCCCCCAGCCCCAAAGAGCAACGGACAGGCTGCACGCAGCCTGTCCACTTCTCCCAGAGCTGCTCGGGGCTGCGGGGGAAGCCCGGGTCCCCCCCCCAGCCCCAAAGAGCAAAGAAGCCAAGACAGCGTGCGGGATCCATAGCCGCGCAACTTCTCCAGCCAGGAGCTAAACCTCTCCAGTGCAGCTAAAGAAGAAGACAAGGCAGCAAGCGCGATCCATCCCGCTCACTGCCTTGGCTTCTTCTTTAGCCTTGCGCAGCATCTTTAGTCTTGCGCAATGGGATGGATTGCGCCCGCTGTCCACCGGGGCTGGACTAGATGACTCCTGGGGTTCCCTTCCAACCCTGCAATTCTATGACCTCGGAAGGTGTTTGGGGTCTCCACCACTGGAGGCTTTTAAGCAGCGGTTGGGGGACCATCTGCCTGGCGTTCTTTAGCTGTGATTCCTACATTGTGAGGGGGCTGGGCTAGATGACCCTTGGGTGGCCCTCCCAACTCTATACAGTCCTACAGTTCTGCGGCAGGAGATCCACAGCCACTTCACACAATGCTCACTCCCAATTTTCATCTAAGAGACATGTGGCTTCAGTGTCTAGGTAGGTACCCCCCTACCTGCCACACTTCCCCCACCCGACTTAAGCTGAGGGAATTCCTGCCCAGAGAAGCTCCCAGCAATCACGGAGGAGGAATCCGCTGCAGCCGTGAGCAGCGGAGGATCCATGGTCCCCCTCCTTCCCTCCTCCGTAGTTGCTTTGAAGCAGGAAAGTGGGAGAGGAGCTGCTTACACGAGTGTAAACTGCTCCCCTCCCACATTGCCGCTTCAAAGGGAGCCCGGGACGAGGGAATCTGCTGCAGCCTCGAGCAGCGAAGAGGATCCATGGGTCCCCTCCTTCCCTCCTCCGTGGTTGCTTTGAAGCAGGAAAGTGGGAGAGGAGCTGCTTACACGAGTGTAAACTGCCCCCCTCCCACTTTCCTGCTTCAAAGCAATTACGGAGGAGGAATCCGCTGCAGCCTCGAGCAGCGGAGGATCCATGGTCCTCTTCCTTCCCTCCTCCGTAGTTGCTTTAAAGGAGGAAAGTGGGAGAGGAGCTGCTTAGAGTGTAAGCTGCTCCCCTCCCACTTTCCTGCTTCAAAGCAATCACGGAGGGGGAATCTGCTGAAGCCTCCAGCAGAGGAGGATCCATGGTCCTCTTCCTTCCCTCCTCCGTAGTTGCTTTGAAGGAGGAAAGTGGGAGAGGAGCTGCTTACACGAGTGTAAGCTGCCCCCCTCCCACTTTCCTGCTTCAAAGCAATCACGGAGGGGGAATCTGCTGAAGCCTCCAGCAGAGGAGGATCCATGGTCCTCTTCCTTCCCTCCTCCGTAGTTGCTTTAAAGGAGGAAAGTGGGAGAAGAGCTGCTTACACGAGTGTAAGCTGCTCCCCTCCCACTTTCCTGCTTCAAAGCAATCACGGAGGGGGAATCTGCTGAAGCCTCCAGCAGAGGAGGATCCATGGTCCTCTTCCTTCCCTCCTCCGTAGTTGCTTTGAAGGAGGAAAGTGGGAGAGGAGCTGCTTACACGAGTGTAAGCTGCCCCCCTCCCACTTTCCTGCTTCAAAGCAATCACGGAGGGGGAATCTGCTGAAGCCTCCAGCAGAGGAGGATCCATGGTCCTCTTCCTTCCCTCCTCCGTAGTTGCTTTGAAGGAGGAAAGTGGGAGAGGAGCTGCTTACACGAGTGTAAGCTGCTCCCCTCCCACATTGCCGCTTCAAAGGGAGCCCGGGAGGAGGGAATCTGCTGCAGCTTCCCCCACCTCCCACAGAAGCTGAACGCTCTTTAAAGGGGCTGTGCGGCTTCTCCTGGCTTTTCTGGGAGGTGGGGGGATTCCCCCCACCTCGTAGAAAAGCCCGCAGGAGCCGCGCAGCCTTTAAAGAGGGCGCCGCTCTTGGGGGCTTTTCCCCCAGGAGGGAGAAGGGACTGCTACAGCCAGTCAGTCCCTTCTCCCTCCTGGAGAAAAGCCCGCAAGAGCGCACGAAGCTTGTGTGCGGCTCTTGAGGGCTTTTCCCGCCTGCCTCCCCCCTGCATTCGCTCCATAGGACGCACACACATTTTCCCTTGCTTTTTAGGAGGGAAAAAGTGCGTCCTATGGTGCGAAAAATACGGTAATAATAATAATTTGATCTTTACCTCTAACAAATGAAGATTCAGCAACATGAAGACTGAGTGTGTACCATTTAGATGCTACATCTAGTTCATGGCAACTTTTAGGGTAGTTCATATTTTACTTTATTTTGGATTGAAATATACAGGTTGAATTTTTTGAGAAACTATTTTGCAATTCTACATACAGAAAATCATCAAAACCATGCACATTCTTGTATGAAATGAGTTTACAGTAATATTCCCTTTCCAATAAAGTTTAATGTACCAGTTTGTTCTGAAAGAAGAATGAAGAAACTGACAGTGCAATTCTATATACATTTACTCAGAAGTAAAGCTCTTTATGCTCAAAGGGAATTACTCTAACATGGGTGTGAGTAGGATTGCAACCTTAGTGTCCATTTAGTAAAATCACAGAGTGCCCTGTTCTCTATGACATAATCCACCAGAAAATTATGGATGTTCTTTTATGCCGCTTCTGTTTACTGCAGTAAGGGTTGCACCAAAGGTTTTGGTGGACTATACTAGCAGTTTGTAAACTTATAAATGCTACAGAAGATATGTTAAAAACACTGCTCAGAAATGCTTCCCTTTACTTTAAAATTGCAATGGATAAAAATGAGTCCATCAAATTCCATTTTCTTGAAGTGGACAATGATCACTGTAGATGTGCAGGCCTTTCTTACTGAGCCCACTCATGATTTTCTTTGCTTTGTTGTGCAGTATTGATGGAATATTGCCAATGTGGTCAAGTTCATGCCGAATATGAATTTTGAGGAATTGTCTTGACCAAAGATGCTAAATGATAAGATTGTAGCATGGTATTTGGATTTGACAGGTCAAGTGGCTGGATCTGTAACCTGTCTCCCATTTGAAAAATGTTTACATCCATTATTTAGATCAGGGAAAGGAAACTGTGGTTCCCCCACAACTATTAGCCATATTGATTAGAACTTAAAGGAACTACAATGCAACTTTTGGAGAGCCACAGGTTCTCTTATCACTGGTTTAGTCATTTGATGGAAATGCCACTAATTTATACCACTTCTAGCTAGAAAAACATGTTTGTTTTTAGTGGTGCAAAATCTATTAATTGTATGTCAGGAGCATTTTACATGTGGAAGCATTCAAAATATATTGCCTCCTTTTTTTCTGCCTGTAATCTGAAGTAGTACAATCCAGAATTCTATTTGTATGCTGCCTTATTCTGTATAATGTATAGATTAGCTCTTCCTATCTTTCACTCTCAAAAGTGTGCCATGGAGAAGGTCCTCAGAAACAGTTTGGGGGAAAGAGAGGTTGAGACATCGTTTTCACTCTTCCCCCTGAGCCCCTCAGTCTAGAATCTTAACCTTGGAAAGATACCTTCCTCCTTCTCTACCCATGAGCTGGCTTTGAGTAGGAAGCAGTATTTTCATTAGACATACATTGCTTCACTTCATTCTTCTTCCCTTTACCCCAAGCCAGTTCTTCTTGTTTCATCAATGGTAATGATCTCTATACTGGATAGGGGAGGTGTTGGTGTGTGGGGTGGGGGTTTAAATAAGGAATGAAGCAAGGGTGAAGGGTTAGGAACAGAGAAGAGCTTCAACCTTCATTTGGAAACAGCTACTATCCCAAATCCACCTTTGGCTTATGCTTAACAACTAAATACCGTATATATTTTAGAAGAAGTGGCCCTGATGTTTGTAGTACTATATTTTGATGCTCTAAGTAATTAAAATTTAAGAGTGCCATCCAGAGACACATATAAGTTCACAGCAGCATTTGGAGAGATTTCCTTGAAGCAGCCCATAACCCCATATTTACAGAGCAACTCTGGGTTTTGGTAAAAGGAAACTGATTTAAAGGCAGCTGGAAATGAAACCAGTTCATACAGAGAAGTTTACCTTTAAGAAGATGCTGCAACAGGCTCCAAAAACTGGTTTTAAAAAATGAAAAAATGTTGGACTTTGAAATACAATGTGGTACTTCTGTAGGCTGTGTGTAGTGTGTACTCTCCTTTTTGGTAGTCTTTAGATTTGTGGGCTTGGATCCAGACTTTGCTCCCCGTGGTGGGAGACTCCTTTGAGCAGAGTTCTGATCAGGGGACTCCTTCACAGACAGAAGGGGAAGGTGGCAATTCCTCTTTCCTTTCCTTAAAGCCCTCTGAAAAAATATTATTGTGTGGGGTTACAGGGAAATCAGGGATGAGTGGACGTTTCCTCTTCCCTCTTCCCTCAGCATGATCCCTCCACTGGATCAAAAGCGTAAATGGAAGGAGCCGTTACAGTCTTTCTAAGTTTGGATTCAACCCCTTGTCATTATCTCAGTGATACCTAAGAAAGCCAAAATGTTGAACCAGAAAGGCTAAAGTTAACTTTATAACTAAACAATGCAGGACTTAAAGAAAGATCTGTCCCAGAACAGCAAAAGCCAAGAGATGCTGAAGAGGTTACCCAACCTACAGAGGAGCCACATGGGAGAGCAGGTAGGTTCTCGTGCAAACTAAGTCATAGAAAAATAAACTCGGTCTTGCCTATCTTTTTGTATGGTAAAAGCTTTACAGCATCTGCTCTACAGCAACTTGTCCTCAATGAGAGGTTTGCAAATCTTGTCGTATTGCAAACCCTCTTCCATATTGTTAACACTATGGGAGTACTTTCAGAATGGTTCCATTGAGGTAGCGATATGCATAATGTCACATTGAATTTCTTTCTATTTAGATCTTTCATGAAAGATTAGTCAGCAGGACAAACCTAGTTTCTGGTTCATGAATTGTTGTGTGTACTTCACCAGCACATTTACACAAAATCATTCTGAACTCATCTCTCGGAAGTAAACATTATATGAAAATATGCCCCAAATCAGAAAAGATAAAAACAGAGGGTGGCATCCAATGTCATGTGAGTGGACTTCTCCTTCCTTGCTTCTTCCCTGAAGCACCATACCCATACCCCAACTTCTCTGCAGCCGTCCAGAACAGATTTGGGGGGTATAGGAGGAAGGTTCCCCCTGGCAGATGAACACTGTTGGACTGCACCCCAAAATGAAATAGCTATTGAAATCATCTTTGGATGTATATTCATTTGATAGACTAGATTCTCCATATAACCTTTAAATCTTTTCAAATAAAATATTAATTAACTTAAATAATAAAAGTAGTTTCTTTACTAGAGTTCTTTATATCAGGGATTGAACTGTAGAAACACCCTAAACAGCTATCTGTTACACTGTATACATATGCCAGTGCAATCATTTATTTTATTTTTGTTTTTTGCCACTCTTAGCATGACAAATATTTTTTTTTGTTTCAGGCACCGAGTATTGTAAAAAGAAATGAGTATTTTCTATAATGGGGTGGGTCCAGATTAAATATTTTAAAGACACTTAAAACAATATGCAAGTTTCGTAGTACTTGGAAGTCTTCTTGCAATATGTACATGCCACTGATTAGTGCTACATTCATTATGTGCAATGTAAAATTTCATCATTACATTGGCATACATCTGTGCGGAAAATAGTCAATCACTTTACACGGTTAACTTTACAAACGTTCAGGACTTGTAATTAGCTGTTTTCACTTGGTCACTATTCAAAATCACATTATATGAATCTGTGTTCCATTTTTTAGAATTATGGAAACTTTTAACATTTTATTTATTTATATATTTGAGAGATTTCTATACAGCCCAGTATAAAAAATGGCCACAGGGCAATGTGCAACAAAACAATACAATGCAGTACATAGTAAGCAACATAAATATCAAAAACCCCAGATCCATATTAACTTGGCTGTAGATTTGTATTTCTCTGTGTAGGTTTTACCAATATATTGCTCTTGTGGTACAGTAAGTAATTGGTTCTACTTCATAAGCTCCCATTGTTGCTCTAATTCCAGGTTGTGGACCTTGGGGTTCTAGTAAAAAACAATGTAGATTCCACAAGCCTAAAGTCTGCCTTTGTACGTATGATAAAACCTTGCAGGCTGTGCTTGCTTATATTCAAACATTTTCATTGTCATGAGGGCTGCAAAAGTGCTTTGTGTAAAAAGGAAAGCTAAGATCCTCAGGAGTCTAGATAGTTCAGCATAGCAGATTCTACCCCATACTCCCAGCTCATGGAAGATGCACTGTTAATCATGATGGATAGTTTCAAATTATTTAAACTTAGAGGTGACTAACCTGTGTCCTTCAGATGTTGGATTCCAACCCACATTCACTCATGGACAGTGATGTGATGCGGAATGCTTCATCCATCTCTACTAGATTTATTTTATTTTACAAAATGTATACACTGTTTGACTGTAAAACAGCAACAACCCCCCTCAAAGTTCTGTACTATAGCCTTATGCTTAACTATAGTCTCATACTGTTAATTTATGGAATCACAGAATCATAGATAACCAATGGTTATCTAGTCCAATGCTCTGCAATGCAGGAATCACAGCTCAAAAAATCCCTGACAGATAGCCATCCAATCTCTGTTTAAAAACCTTCAATGAAGGAGAGTCCACCAGCTTCTGTGGGTACATGTTTGTGAAATGTACAGGCACCACCCCACTTATGCATGTTCACGTCATGTGTGACTGCACATATGCATTGTATCAGGAACCCAGAAGTAGGGGAAGAGACCTGAAGGGCCTCAACAAAGCCCTGCTGTGCCTCCAGCTTGCAGGGAGACCTTCCCTGGAGCCCAAAAAGGATGTCCTCTTTGAGCTCTGGGAGGGTCTCCTGGTGAATCAGAGGTGCAGTGGGTTGCTTCCCACTTAAGGGCATTTCATTTATGTGTGCAGAGGGCCAGCATAGGCTCCCCTGTGTAAGTGGGGAGTCACCTGTATATGAAAAAAGCCTGAATAAAAATGCCATATATCATGTTTACCAAGTCCATAGGGAAACATGCTCACTTTCCCTAAAAGTATTTGTTTTCTGGTTTTTGAGTTCAGTCTCTTCTTTCTGCTGACCTTTGATGTATTCTCTAAAATAATGTAGAACACAAGAGTGCTGAAGCAGAACCAGAAGAGGAAGATGAAATGGACACTTTACTACGTCAAGTTCTTGAATCAGAGTTTGGTATGAATGAATACTTTGTCCATGAACTTCTAAAAAGAAATTTTAGAACTAATCAATTATTTTGATCAGTTAAAAAATGTATGTAGCTAGTTACCGATCTTTCAAAACATTTTTGCTGCTGGTTGGAAAAAACTGTTTGCTTTCCAAAATGGAATAATGACTGTAGTGGCTAATGACCTGCCCCTCACGTGTTTGTCCAATGATACCAGTTTATAGAATTATCCCATAATAACAGTAAATGCTTAAGGCACAATATCAGAGCTAAGCACTCTTAAGATCCACTGGTTTCTGTGAAAGGAGTAATTTTAAACTAGTGGGTTGGATGTGGACATTTCCCTCCACAAACAGAAAGGCTCCTTCATTTGCAGATGGGACTCCACTCCAGCAGAGGCTTTCATTCCACTTTACTGGATGCTCCTGCTGGCAAAAGGGGAAGAAGACGATTTTTGGCAGCACCTAGAAGACCAGGGTTCAAATCCCCACTATGCTATGAAGCTCACTGGAGGACCGCGGACCAGTCACTGTCTCTCAGCCTAGCCTACCACACAGGGTTGTTGTGAGGATAGCATGAAGAGGGGGAGAACTGTGTAGCTTTCTGGAGTTCCTTGAAGGAAATAAATGTAATAATAATAATAAATGACCAAGTAGTCCCCTGTGCAACTTCCCATACTGTTCTTCAGGGTCTCCTAATACTCTGGGACAGATTTTCAAGGTGCACAGAGAGCTGTCTGAGGAAGGGGGGTGTCTCAAAAAATGGTGTCCCCTTCCTCCAGTGGGAGCATCCAGTTAGCAAAATTCCATCTGGATTCAACCCAGTGGGCCTTAAATGTGTTTGGATTGTACCAATGATCTGTTTAGAAGGGCAGTGATTACAGAATGCAATTGAGACTGTTCTGTTGATATGCTGTTTTTCTAACATTTTAAGAAAAAATAAATGAAGCGGATGAAGAAACAGCTTTTCAGGAGGAGAATAGTGAAATACCTGAAGTTCCCACAGAACAGGATGTCTATGATAAAGACCTTGAAGATAAAGTGCCAGAAGTATTAGAAACACCAGAATCTTTCTATGAAGGTACCTGAAATATTAAGAGTATTCAGCATGTTTTTCCTTTCTTTTTCTTTTTTTGAAAGAGATTAAGAAGGTGGTGAGATATTTTACTTAGGCTTTTATGGAATAAATATATGTCTTTGAGTTCATTCAGTTCAGTCAAACATAGTATGTGATCAAGTCTGTTTTAAATGACTTGTATACTGTATTGTGACCCAGATTGGACATCATTGGAAGGAAAGTTTAGTGAATGGAAGAAGACTGCAGCATCATGTGTGCCCTTCCTTCTGCTTTCCCCCTCTCATGCATGAATTTCTCCCATGTTCTTGTATTTAGACATACATCTAACCTGAAGCCTAAGATCCTGAAAATTGTGGTTTTATCAGGGTGTTCAAAGTATTTAGAAGTATGTCTGGATTCATTTTAACCTGAATTGATGATGCTCAAACCAAGATGCGGGGAGGCATGAGGAAATTCACTTGCAATAAAAGAAGTATTGGAAGACAGCAGAAATGGTTCTGTGGTCTACTCCAGTCCTTACATTCTAGTTCCAGGATTATGTCTACTCCAAGCATATGTGTCTAATAACTGTTAGATTAATTGGGCACTTTTCTGAAAATTGACAGTATTTTAACTTAGCAGTAGGTGGTATTCAACAAAGTATTTGCAATAACATAATGGGATTTCCTTGCTCTATTCTCCCCTACCTCCCACAAGCCCTGTCCTGTCCTGTCCCCAAATGTGCTCTGGAAGGTTGGGGAAAATCCCCAAACAGCTTTAGGAGACATACAGGGGGAGAAGTGCCTGACGAAATATTTTTCCTAGTGCTACACTGAATACAACATTTTATGTACCTTCAAAAACCAAATATTTCCCTTATTTTTCATTTCAGAACCTGCAAGTGACTATCAGCCAGGAGAGCCAGACACAGATGACAGTCATGGTATGTCTGCTTTTCATAATAGCTTTGAGATGCTGTGAAGTGATGTATCAGGTGATGAACATGTGTCTGTGAACTGATCCTAAATATCTGCAAATTTAATGGGAGAGATGGTTTATATGATGGAATTTTCTAAAGTGTTGGTTTTCAACCTCACCTAAGTGGATCACAACTTTACCTATTGTATCTGAAGAAGTGTGCATGCACACGAAAGCTTATACCCAGAACAAACTTAGTTGGTCTCTAAGGTGCTACTGGACAATTTTTTATTTATTTCAACTGCGTCAGACAAACACTTCTACCAACCTGGAACTTTACCTAAGACAGATTGCCATGATTCAATGCCATTTCACATTTTACGTTATTTAAATAATGCATCTTCTAAGCCAGGTGATGATAACTTATGTGTGGAGAAATATTAGTCAGGGCAAAGATGCCATACATAGGCGACTCACTCGACATTTGAGGGAAGCATGGTTCATGTACATTCACAGTCTATAATCCTAATAAGTCTTAACTAGCAATAACAATGTTAAAGTGGTTATGGCAAGCAGCCTTTTTTGGATTTGGCAAATCTGAAGATAAGATTCCATCAGGGTTGAGGTCTTTGTAAGGTCCTTTTGGGAGATAAATGACAGATAAGTAACAGATAAATTTCTGTTTCGGTGCCAACATTGGAGGCAGCAGTTATGTGAAGCTCTGCACAGAGGAACATGATTACGGCGCCTGTCTGTAGTTTGGGTAGAGAGAATCCAGTAAAAGGAAAACCCACAAGTGGGGATGAAATGCCCATACATAGAGAATAAAGATCAATAGAGCAAAGGGGAGAGAGGAAAAGAAAGATAGAGAATCGGAGAAAAAATATACAAGTGGGTCCCATGTTAGAGGGGTTCAATGAAATGCCAGATCAAAATATCTGAAGATAACTGTTCTGATCAAAATATATTGTATTTCATAATACTTGTTGAAATCTATGAGCATTCATTAGTTCATCTAGGCTTAAATTCTATACACAAACTACACTGGCGTTCAAGTCCCATTGAATGCAAAGGGACTTGCTTCTGAATTGACATGCACAGAATCCTGCTGTTTACTAGTTATTAAATGTTTTGAAGTAATATCTATTATTACTTTCTTTGACAATCTGTTCCTGGGGGAAAATTTTCTACTCCAAACGTTTCATGGCTAGTGTTGATAAAAGCTGGGCATTCCCAGTTATAGTTGTGTGACTTTCTTTCCCATCAATCTTGAGTTAAAGGTAAAGGGACTCCTGACCGTTAGGTCCAGTCATGGACGACTCTGGGGTTGCGGCGCTCATCTCGCTTTACTGGCCAAGGGAGCGGGCGTACAGCTTCTGGGTCATGTGGCCAGCATGACTAAGCCACTTCAGGCGAACCAGAGCAGTGCACGGAAACGCTGTTTACCTTCCCGCCAGAGCGGTACCTGTTTATCTACTTGTACTGCGTGCTTTTGAACTGCTAGGTTGGCAGGAGCCAGGTAAAAAGCAACTAGTTAGTCTAACTCATTTAAGCCCTCCAGCCTTGACAACAGTATTAATAGCTATTTGTGAATTAATGTGAACTTCTAATTTTCAGATGCATATGAATATCATGCACATACAGAAGAAGCTACATATGAACCAGAAAGCCAAGGTTTGTCTGGTTATTATTCACATAGAAGTAATAGGTTATATAGAATGTGTCTGTTTCTCTATGCTTAACCAACCTTGAGAGCAATGGAACTGCAAATGTACACATAGTTTAGATTAAGGAAAGCTTGTCTTTTGTCTTGGTAGGCTGTTGACCTTGCATTCCTGTTATCTTTAAAATAAATGCACAATGTGCATTTAAAATGCCCCATCTGTGAAACAAAAAGGCATCCCAGAAGAGGGTTAAAAATAATGCTTATTGTAATATAGCAGTGAAAGCTCCTTGTGCTCCTATAAATTATTATTTTAATTTGTGTATATATTTATTTGTGAAATACATTGCAGTGCAGCAGTTACTGTTAATACCAAAAGACTAATAAAATACTATAATACATTTTTAAAATATTTTTATATACTCACATTCTCAAACTGTGAAATATTTCTATAAATGCTAAAGAAAAGTTAGAATCTTATGTTGCTTATTAACTATTTCACCTACATTTCATTTTATTAACTTTTCCTCAGCAAATAATATGGTTTCACTGAATCTTATATTTTTACTTTGTTCCAATAAGAAATAAACAAATTCAGTTTCTTCCATAAAAACATTTTCTTGTTGCCTCTTTCACTTCAAATCAGATTTGTGAACTTCCGTCATGTATGCGATATCCCAGACTTTGACTACCCAAGAATATTTTTTGGTGCTTTTCCAGTTCTGACATATTGTAATTCTGTCTGTTAGAAAATGAGTAGTCATTTATGTATCTTCCTCTAGTATACTATGTTTAAGGTAACCAAATAGTATTACTACTGTATCCTTGGTGAGATCACAGGCAAAAATGTTTTTTATTTCTATCAATGACTAAGGACTTTGGTTGAAAGACTGACTCCCACTATAAATAATATCCTTAAAATAATAACTGGCAGCCTAATTGCTGTAATAAGAAACAAGGGGAAGAAGGATGATTAATATTTGAAAGCGGTTCCTCTTGATAGCTTCTTTATCTGTTTTAAGAAAGGTTTTTAATTGAAACTAATGAAAAGAGGAAATGACTTCTGACTGTCAGATGGTCAGGGCATGTGCTTTTCGTAAGTGATGTGTGATGCAGCCTGTTCTTTATTACTTATTTCTGTTTTGCTTTGGAACAATTTGTACAATAAAAATACTGATTTAGTATGCTAAGAAAATGATGGTGATGTATGGGGGCATAATACAAATTATACACTATGACGCTAAAATGGTATATGCATCAATATATTAATAATAATAGGCAGCAGCAGTAGTAGTAGTAGTAGTTGGTTTATATATCACATTTGTATCCTACAATGCCTATATGCAGAGGGCCATATCCAAATAAGTAGCTCTATGTAGAAACTCCTCTAAGTAGAAAATCCTCCATTGAATTCTGCCGTATGAGGCTAACTTACGTAGACTCAAACACATAATCTGCAAAACATGAATTTAGAAGTGCAGGCCTCTTTGCAGATATGATTAATATGTTAAATTGACTGTAGGAGACCTAGTGCAGTCCTGATTCCTTCCTCTTTCATCCAATCAGTCAACCAGCTGTATAGAAACATGTACTTTGATTTGCACAAATGAAAACATATTTTTGTCTGTCTTCCACAGATGACACAGAACTAAATCTAGAGGATGCTCTGGATCATAACACAGGTATTACACAGAAGTCTATATACCTGCATTTTACAGTTGGATTCTACTTAATTTAAAAGTCAGGTTATGTTACCTAACAGAGCAGGGGTGGCCGACATTTTGGGGCCTGTGGCTCATCTGGAAAGAGTGCTGTAGGTACTGTCGCTTCTGGTTGCTTTTTCACCCCTCTTCCTAGGTCAGACCTGCCCCCAACAGACAAAGTGAAAGAAAGCACATGCATACACACAGCCAAACATACTTTTATTTTATGTATGAGTAAAAAAATCAGATCCAGTAGAATTAAAACAGATCCTTTTGAATTTGTATGATTTTACCAAGAGTCCCTGAAAAACCACAATCAAATTAATGCTTACAGTAATACCACCAACAAATCACATAACACATCTATGTATACAGAGGCAACATGTGATATGATGGGTACTTTTGAGGTAATCCCTGGTATAAATTATGAGGATCTATAAGTATCAGTGTCTCAGATCCCTGGCAATGCTGGACAGCCCCAGATCCATGTCTTTTCCAGTTCAGTCAATAGAAAAGATGTGATCTCATCATGCACCTTGACCTACACAAAGACACATATCCAAACCCTCTGGGACATTGTGAGCTACTCAGTTTGCCCTTGCCTTCCATGTTGCTTGCTATATCGGCTTCTCAGTTAAATGCTGATTAAATGCAGTAAGATGTGAATTCTTAGGAAATAATATGTGACAGTAGATTTATTGCACACATTAACAGTCTCTTTACTTGCAGAACCTTATTCACATGACACAGAAAAGCAGGACTATGTGGATGAACATGGTATGTTGTGTGATTTTATAGCAACGCTGTGATTAAGAGCAGGACATTTGTTTTTATACTTTAGTTGTAATATCGTTTGAAAGTCCTCACATTTATAACATGCTGCTGTAACAGTATGGCTGTACTGTGTGTATAAATATTGCAATTATGGATTGGAGTCTCATGTCTTTCTCAGCTGATTAATGCCTGAATTTCTGGATTGGGTTGTGGGGAAAGCTTTCTGCTTCCCTACCCACATGTGTGGTATTTATGTGTGACTCAGGTATATTTTACTGTGGCTGAACAGTTTTATATTTATATTATATCATTTTTATGATAATTTGCTATTTCTCACCTCTTGGATATTTTATGATTAAATTATATATGAATGGGAAAATAAGTAAGTAGGTAAGTAAGTAAATACAATGCATATAGAATGTCACCTCATTATGTGTGTGTTATATGTGTGTGTTATCGTGAAATATGTGATCGTTGGGGAACCTTTTCTTTCTCTGTCCCGAACATAACATATTGCTCAGTGACAGAGAACTACCTTTGCATGCAAAAGGTCACTGATTTGATTACCCTCAGAGGTATGAGTGGAACCACCACAAAGCATCTCCCAAGACTCCTAAACCCCAAAGGCAGTCCAGAAAGAAACTGTGACTAATGGTATCAAAAGCTGCTGAGAGGTCAGGGAGAATCAACAGGGTTGAATTTCCCCTACAAATTTCTCCTGACAAAGGTTATTTTTAAAATTTATTTTTATTTATTCACAACATAAATCTCAAAATTGATCTGGACAAGCAAATTTTGATTCCAAAACCAGGTCTGAAACTGGATTGAAATGTGCCTAGATAATCAGTTTCATTTGATCATGCTTGAAGCTGTCCTACCCTACCTTCTCAAGCAACTTGCCCCCAAAGCAGATACTTTCTTCTTCCCTCTCTCCGTCCATGTTTACTCAGCAGCAAGGCCTGGTGCCTTCAGTAGCTTTATCTCTAGTAAGTGTGTTTAGGATTGCAATCTTAGTTTCTTTCCCTTTCCTCCATCTGATCCACCTATCTGAAGGGGCCCTCTACAAGCTTTGCCAGCCCATTGAGATCTTCTTGATTCAAGCACCGGGAACTATTTGATGATGTCCCAGTGTTTGAAAACACCAGGCCATAGTTTCTGGAATGTCCAGTGCTGTTTCACACCAGAGAAGGGGGCATTCCAGTCACCATAAATTTGTGAGTGCATCTCTCCCCCTCTCAGTGTGCTTCCAACTTCATTTGAGATCCCTACTCTTATCCAGGCAGCTAGTCCACTTCACTAAAACTTAGATGATTAAGACAAACTGCTTTGCATATCACAGTCCTTTAAAAACTTATGTATTCAAGTCTTTTTCTGGCATATATGCTAATTAATCTGACAAAGGAAATTGTGATTTTGTTACTTTTTTCTTTATTAACTCATAACCATTGTAGCATTCCAGTTTTAAAATTTTAATTATGTATTTTATTTTAGAATTGGAAAATGAAGAATTTATTGAAGCACAGAATACAGGTAAATTGACTGTGACTATGAAAAATAATGGCAGTAATGGTTTTCCTTAGCTGTTTCTTTGCTGTTTTAACGCTCACACTGAGCAAGTCATGTCCTGCATGAGTTACGTATAGGTGAACATGTCTAATGAGTTATTCTGCACTTTCGAACATATAAATAATAGCAAATTATGTCTTTGCTCTGTTACTGAACTGACAGCAAGGAAAGTTCTCTTCTCAAACAGGCATGGGGAAATGGATCTAAACCTAATCTCTACCTTAGTTGTTGTGGACAAAGTTGCAACAGTGACATTGGGTGACATTTTTGCCCACATGGTCTTGCAGAGCCCCTTGCAAAGCTGAGCACAGGCTTTTACCTGCTGCATTCCTTATATATAATATCAAGTATAGGGTAGATGGGTATGGCTGGGCCAAATGGGGAGCTCTGGCAGCCTAATGCAGAGGCTTGGCGAGCATAATTAGGCCTGCAGGCTATATAGAATCATAGAATTGTAGGGTTCCCCAGGCCTGTCCTAGAAGCTGAAAGAATCTGCAATTTCAGGAAAAACTGAATTCTGTCAACACGAGTCTGGTTAGTGATAGACATTGATTCCTTTGATTCCTTTGATGCAACTCCTATAATTGATACTCTCTAAGGGTCTAGCTACACATTATGTATAAACATGTAGAAAAGAACCCTAATGACAGGTTTTGTATCTTTCCCCCCCTTTTGTTGTTGTTGACAAAATGCAGCCTTGGGTGGCTTCTCTACTCTATCAACCTATTCTGTCCCCAGACCCCTGAGTTCCAACCACATTTTTGTGAAAATCTGGAGTCATTCTCTTTAATTTACATAGCATGGACCTGGATTCTTTTTTTTTTCTTAAGCAGAGAGACCTGCAGCAATATTTTGTTTGTTTCATAAAATTTACATACTATTTTATTGTAGAAAAAACTCACCTCAAAGTGGTTTTAAAAAAGATAAAACCATAAAATTATCACTTTTTACAACGATAATTTAAACATACAGAAAGTTAAAACCACAATAAAATAGATTAAAACAAATAAAAACTCATACTAACTTTCTAAACATCTGGCGAGGTTTATCTAAATAAGAATGTTTTCAGCAGGTGCCAAAAAAGAATACATTTTCTTGTGAACTATATCACATTGTTCTCTTTTCAGATGGAGAACAGTTATCCGAACATTATTATGAAAATATGCAAGGTAAGCATATATTCATTTTATCATCATTTATCTATAAGTGATAAATCCCCTATAACTTATCTATAAGTTCGAATCCCCACGGCGGGGTGCGCTCCCGTTGTTCGGTCCTGCCCCGGCCGGGTGTGTGTGTGTGCAGAGCTAAATATAGAGGTTCAAGCCAAAATGCAGAAGCTGGGGTGGTAAATAATAATAATAATAATAATAATAATAATAATAATAATAATAATAATTTATTTATACCTGGCTCATCTGGCTGGGCTTCCCCAGCCACTCTGGGGAGCTTCCAACAAAATATTAAAATACAGTAATGCATTAAACTTTAAAATAGGGGACGCGGGTGGCGCTGTGGGTAAAAGCCTCAGCGCCTAGGGCTTGCTGATCGAAAGGTCGGCGGTTCGAATCCCCGCAGCGGGGTGCGCTCCCGTTGCTCGGTTCCAGCACCTGCCAACCTAGCAGTTCGAAAGCACTCCCGGGTGCAAGTAGATAAATAGGGACCGCTTACTAGCGGGAAGGTAAAATGGTGTTTCCGTGTGCGGCTCTGGCTTGCCAGAGCAGCGATGTCACGCTGGCCACATGACCCGGAAGTGTCTCTGGACAGCGCTGGCCCCCGGCCTCTTGAGTGAGATGGGCGCACAACCCTAGAGTCTGTCAAGACTGGCCCGTACGGGCAGGGGTACCTTTACCTTTTATCTATAAGTGAATATATTCATTTATTAACTTGGGGTGGTGGTGGTGAGAAGAATTATGCTGCAAAACTGATGCTTATTGCTGGATTAAATAAACATGCCCATCTTAGCAGCAGCTGCAATATTGGCATCTCAAGTCTGCTTGAAATATGAAAACAATGTTGTAGAAAAAGCACAGCCAAGTAGGAAATGTTTGAAAGAAAATGTGATAAAAATGATGTATAGGTGGTATATTACTCCTGTGAAATTAGCTAAAATGTATAAAATAAGTAATAAATGTTGGAAATGTAAAGAAAAAGAAGGAACTTTTTATCACATGTGGTGGGAATGTAAGAAAGTGAAAAACTTCTGGGAAGTGATATATAATGAGATGAAAAAGGTGATTATTGTATTTTTATTATTTGCTGTACATTGTGTACAGTATCTTCATTGTATGGAGGCACAGTCAGTTATGGATTCCTGTATTCATACACAAAGAGAAATAAAGAAGTGTGCATGTGATGACCAATCCACATCTAACTTTATTGTTTCCTAAATAGCAACTTTCCACATAAGCATTTTGTCACATTTGAAGGGATTTTCAGTTGTGTTTTCTGAATAGGTATTTTGGAGTCTGAGAACTAAAGTGTAAGGTTTCTTTCTCCTGCTTATACAGGCCCTAGCTCTGTCTTAAATTACAATTTTTGTACACATTACTCTTTATATTGTTAGCTTTGGTCTTATAAAGGCTGTGATTTATTTATTATATTTATTATATATCTAACAGAGCCAATTGAGAGCACTGATCAAACACATGAAAGTGAGTATAAAAAATGGTTCATTCCATCTTATTAGGAATCAGTCCTAAGAATCCTTTTTAAATCCAAAGCTTATGATTTCATGATTTCTATAAATTCCCCATATTTGTGTATAATTACCTTTATAAATTAGCAGCTTCTGCTGTTAATGATAATCATAATCATTACCACCATTATAATTATTAAAGAACATAAGAAGAGCCTGCTTCTACTGGATCAGGCCAATGGCCCATCTAGTCCAGCATCCTTGTCTCATCATCATCATCATCATCATCAAACCTTTATTGGCATCACATACAAACATTCAGAATAAATAGGCCAGTGCGATCTCATCGCCATTTCAACAGTACAGTCATTTGCCAAAGGGAAGAAGAGGTGAGCAATCTATTATCCTCTTCTCACAGTGGCCAGTCAGATGCCTTTGGGAAACCCACAAGCATGATTCAAGCACAATAGTCCCATTTTAGGATGTTGCAAATCCACAAGGTATCTTTTAGAGCTAAAAGCTCTTTCAGCAGTACTCAGTTGCCAGGATCCAATTTGTTATAATGTCATTTTGTCTTTGACCTGTTTCTTCTTTTCTCAAAAGTATGTCAGTTTAATAATTAAAGCAAATACCCATACCTTACCTATCCATTCATTAGTAACGGCTGCTACTTAGGCCCTCCATTTCTGTGCAAACATTATTCGTCCTGCAGCTGTCATATAAGGGAATAATTGTGTGTGCTCTTTCTTTGTGAGGTGTTGTTTTTGTTAGTTTAATTTGGTTGCTACTCTAACAGCATGTTATCTAATTCATTTTTATGTGCCCATAGATGAAGCAGATGTTCCACATTCTGCTACTGAACAAATTCAGTCAGGTACGTTTACATGAATTAACCAAGGTAGGAGAAACTAATTTGAGTATAACTTTTATTAAAGTTATTTTTCTCTAATGAATGAAAGCACTTTTTACCTTCTGTTTATGTGTGGAATAAAAGGAATACTGGACAGAGAACTGCTGAGAAACTTCATTGTACAAGATGATGGTTTTTAACCACTGAATGTATTGATAAAAATTTAGACATCTGGATCTTAAAGGCTCTGAATGTATTAATATACTACATATTTGCATGTCACTTTGACATTTGCTTCTGTGAATTCAAATAATCACAAATCAGTGTGGAAAGTACTGAGAAATGTATTAAGGCTATTTTTGCTAGTACCTCTTTGCTGTCCTGGGAAAAGTGAATATTAAGTTTCTCTGTCAGGAGGAGACAGAAGAGATCAAACCTGTCCCCCATTTTTAAAGCTACCTGTCTCAAGTGTGGCAAGGAAGGTTACTAGGATATTTGTGAACCTGATTTCCCTTTGCCTTCTCTTACCATATAACATAGCCATCTAGACTCTGAATTATGCTAATAGCAGGGATTCATACTGGAATTCAAGAATGACCACCTACATAGTGGCTATGGAGGGTGCAATTAAAAGTAGGAAAAGGACTCTTTGCCACCTCTCTTTTTACCCTGTAACACACTCCTCTCACCCATTTTTTACCCAGCCATGTTTCTAGATGTGCTTGTATGTCACTGGGGAAAAGCAGCAAGTGGGAAGAAAGTTAATCATTCCATTGTACCCACCATTTTTACTGTTTCAAATAACACCTACCCACCCCTGCTGCTTTGCAGCTATTTTGTGGAGACCCAGGTCACTCCTAAATGTGAAGTGCCAGCTGAAGTTGAGGATTCTGTGAACTAATTGGTCAGCTACCTAGCTTTCTTAAGCTTTTTGGTTCCTGGATGTCTGCTGGGCAATCCTCTGTTGTATTTGATAAACTCCATAGTTAGGGAAAATCACAGAGTCCACTCTACCAGCCAGCTTAGCAATTTTGTTTTGACATCCTCTGCACTTGAACATGCTTTAGTACAGCCTTTTCTTGTCTTATGGAAGCTCACTATTTCAAAGTTACTTTAAGGAGACATGCATGGATATCACTGGAAGAGGGTATACATCTTTAAGAATGGAGTACACTGCCAAACCATAGCTGTTATGTTGAATCTGCCCTGCCTTTGCAACAAACATCTGGTTGTTTTTAAGGACTCAAGTGTTTGTATATGACTCCATTAAACCACTCATTTTCTTTGGTTTGCTCATTTCGGAAGTCAAAATTATTTTAAAGAAAATACTGTAGCTGAAATATCCAGCTATGATAGCTCAAAGCTCATAAATATTTAGATATTTGGCTTAAAAAATAAGAGAGTATTTTATGATGTATGTGTTAAAAGTAAAATGCTTGGGGAAAACAAGAGGGAAGAGAATGCTGTATTTTATATCTGTGTCACACACTTATGCTGTAATGTACAATTTGACAACCTATGTGCTCTGTATCATCCTTAAAGTTCTTACAATCATTGCTGATTTTTAAAAAAGAATTTAAGCTTGTATTTATCTTATTTCTTTAATTATGTCTGTATAACTACAAAATAACGCCTGCCAACCTAGCAGTTCGAAAGCACCCCCAGGTGCAAGTAGATAAATAGGGACCGCTTACTGGCGGGAAGGTAAACGGCGTTTCCGTGTGCTGCGCTGGCTCGCCAGATGCGGCTTTGTCACGCTGGCCACGTGACCCGGAAGTGTCTCAGGACAGCGCTGCCCCCTGGCCTCTTAAGTGAGATGGGCGCACAACCCCAGAGTCTGTCAAGACTGGCCCGTACTGGCAGGGGTACCTTTACCTTTACTAACTACAAAATCAGCCTGAATATATTTTGGTTTATATAAAATGTATCAATTTGTTTAGTAGAAATTATTATTAGTAATAATAATAATAATAGCACAGGCATACACAGTATAAGATAACATAAGTTTTTCCAATTTGTTAACCATAGATGACAGAGAACATACAGAAGATCATGTGACTGCTCAACCCCATGAGACAGGTTTGTACATTATTTTGTCATACTATGCTAAAACCTGTTTATGTAATGGTGCTTATATATGAGTGTGCCCAGCATTGTTCACCAGGGCACATACTTTTTCTGATTACTTCTGTTCCGTTATATAACAATATGTCGTGAGCAGAACTATTTTATTAATTCAGTTTCTTAGAAACTGAAATGCACACCATAGTTCATTAGCCTATATTCATTTATCTACTTATTTATTTTATCATAAATTAAAAGTTTTTAAAAATGCTTTTAAAAGCCAGCCCTAACTTGGGGTCACCTGGCTCCTGGTATGATTATAGTGCCAGAGCCCTTGCTACATTCAAAGTTCTACTAGTACCACCCATCCAGGAGTTTGGGGTTGTTTTTTTGCTTTGCTGTGCCAGCTCAAGATGGCTCCTCACCTGACAGTGGGCTGGCTTAGGTTCTAGCAAATCCTTGGCCAAGCCTTTTTTTTTAATCCCTACTCTGCCCAGTTTTGAGGCCATGCATGGGTTATCAGTGGTGGGAACACTACTCTTGGTAGCTTTCCAGCTGTGCCTACAACAAGCACAGTGGTGACTTCTGTGATGATGGAGCTCTTACTCCAGCAGAGCCAGTGGATGTGGCACCTCCAACTCGTCCTTGGGTTAGGATATCCCCTTAGATATCAGGGCAGTGTACAAAATAGCTTGATACAGTACAGTGTTAACGGATACCCATTTCTATAGCCTAGTCTAGCGGAGTGGTCAGACTATCCCTTTTGAAGTTACCATTTCAGCAAACCCAACTAACTTTTCCAAGGAAAACCATAATAGTTAAAGAAAGTGAATAAGCAGCAATTTACTAAGAGTGTAGTTATCATTTCTCATACATATGTGTATATAGAAAAATATATAGATAGATAGATATAGATAGTTGTACCTTGGTTGCCTTGCGACTCGAATGTTTTGGGTCCTGAACACCGCAAACTCAGAAGTGAGTGTTCTGGTTTGCAAGCGTTCTTTGGAACCCAAACGTCCAATGCAGCTTCCGTGGCTTCCGATTGGCTGCAGGAGCTTCCAATAAGATCCAATAAAGGTGTAGAAAACAACAGTGAGTGACTCACATCCACAATAAATGTCTTCTCAAGCCCTGTCTCTGGCATTGTGAGAAGAAAGCTTCAGCTATACATATCTCTGTCGCAGAGTTTGTTTATAACCACCAAGGAGATGCATGTGGTGGCTGCTACTGTTTCTGGAAGTCTCTGGCTCACATGGGTAAGGCTCCTTTAACAGCAACATGGCAGAAAAGGTCATATGTTGACATTTGACCTTACGAAAGCTTCTGAGTCGGGCTTCTTTTCTGTTTAGGGCAAAAAAGGGACTTTGCAACCACTGCTGTATCTTGCTCATATCACAGACCCACCATGTGTTGCGTCTGCTTTGCCTTCACCTTGTTTATCTAGTATTGCCTTACTCCCAGAATGTGGTATCATGACTTGGCAGGATCTGGATTCAGGAACACGTTGCAGGCAATAGAGACCTATAGCCTGCAACTTGGAATAAACAGTCAGCTTTCCAGGTACATCTTCAGTCAAATGGAGTTGACACAAAGGCACAAGTCTAAACTTCCTGGCAAAGAGGGACATGATCTTTTGATGTGAAAAGATTGCCAGAAACACAGCTGCAGTGACTGCTTATCAACACCAAATGTGGGAGAAATTTCAACTGCTTCAACTCCAGGGCTGGCGTGCCATGCCCCTCCCCGGTTGGGCACCCAATAGGGAAGCTTGGCGGGGGCATGGCTTGCTGCTCAAACACAGCCCCGCCAGCCATCCCCACCATTGCACACACATTTTCTCCGAGTCACCCACCCTCCACTCCCTTTAGATTAGCTGTTCCTGAGACTTTGCTATGGACCTCTGGTTGGTCGCCCTGTTTAACCAAGGGGGCCTGGTAGGAGTTTTTTCCAATTGGCTAAATTGGCCCGGCCTCCTGGTTTTTCCCCCGCCTACCTCGTAGCAACCGTCACAACTTTTGTGGTATTTGGCGGTTAGGCATTGGAATGTGTTGTTGGTGTTTCGGGGGGCAAGGTGTGGCCATCGCCTTCCCCGGCAATTTTGGGTATTCCGCTAAAGGAATCCGGCGGTCGTGGATCCTGTCCAATGCCCATGTGGCGGGGGGCCATGGCACGACCCTCGGTGACATCAGAAAGAGAGCCTATAGTTGGATTAGCATCAACAGGCTTCCCCTACTAGTGGTTAACCCCTCCTCAGACTCACCCCTCTATGAGTGGGTGGAGTCTAATGTTTCGTGGTCCAATGCCTAAGCCAACACCTTCTCACATGCTGTAATCCAGTGTTTCCCAACCTTGTGCCTCCAGCTGTTTTTGGCCTACAATTCCCATCATCCCTTGCCACTGGTCTTGCTAGTCAGGGATGATGGGAGTTGTAGTTCAAAAACAGCTGGAGGCACAAGGTTGGGAAACACTGCTGTAATCAATAAAGTTGTGGCCTTTACCTTACCCATTAACCTTACATTCTGTGTCCACGTGTCTTTATTCCCCAAGCGGGGATCGGGTCCTCGAATCACAAAGCACATTGCTTTCTGTTTATTTTTTGTTTTTATTTCAGCGTTTAACCCTACTTTTTGTTTTTGGGGAAATGGAATATTCTAAAAACTATTCCAAGGCACAGTTGAGATAATAAAAGTCGTTGCCTGCAGGGCTCAGGTTAAATTTTAAAAGAGCAGTATGGAAAAAATACCTCTGCGTCCCAGTTTTGGGGAATCACAGTGGTGAGAGTGCCTTTGTGTGCAGTTCATGCTTTTGGGCATCCCATAGGCATTTGGTTGGTTACTGCAACAAAAGAATGCTTGGCTACATCAGCTTGATCCATCTGGCATTTCTAAAGAAATGTCAGTGGTGGATTAATGAGTAGCATGTGGTAAATACTCTAGAAATAAATGTTGCTGCTGCAAAATAGAGTTGAGATGATCAGGTAACATTAGATTTGCAGATATGGTGAACTCATGGATGACTGCAAGGGAAGTAGGAAAGTCTACAGATGTGCCATAATCATCAGAGTTCCAGTTTTCATTGACTAAAAAAGAAGGCTACCACTGTTGAACCAGAAATATGAGGCAAAATATGTAAGCACTGTTTTCCTTGTTTTGTAAACTAGCATGATTGCCAGTGAATGAAATCATAGCAATGAGTGGCATTAAGAAAACAGATCTAGCCAATTACACAAAGATATGGCTAGAGCAGGGGGAGCCAGCATGGTATCCCCATATGTTGTTTGACTACAATTCCTATCAGCTGCAGCCAGCATGCCAAATAGTTGAGAATGATGGTAGTTATTGTCCAGCAACATCTGGAGGATACTACGTTGACTACTCCTGGGCTAGAGTCTAGTGAAGAAACTTGTTGGTTGGTTTTTAAGGCTTTTATGCTGGTCTCCTATGATGTAAAAAATGATTGCTGCTTCATAGAGAGCCATTCATGTATCCAGGATTTTAGTGTAGCTGAGTTTGGGGAGTCAACTCAAAAAAGAAAAGATAGCAACAAAGAGGAGATCGTGATCTTTCTAACTCAGGTTTTATTTAATACCAAAAAAGTGCCCCTTCCCATTTGTCAACATTAAAAAAGAAATCTTAATGCAGCTAAAACATATCGTTATTTTATCCTTACTGCAAGCCGGGGGAGGGGATGCAGAACACTATGGCTGAGTGTATGCACAATGTAATCTAGTGTTTATATCAATATGCTGAAAAGTATAGGGAGTTATAGTACTTTATAACAACCCTGAAATATAGACCTTTGTTGTTACTCTGATGTGCTGGTGTTGTTGGGTTTGTGTGTGTGTGTGTGTGTGTGTGTGTGAGAGAGAGAGAGAGAGAGAGAGAGAGAGAGAGAATTAAGGGTTGATGGGAGTTAGTTGAGCCAGGGAAATAATTGTTGGTTTGAGTGGTCATCAAAAGGTGTCTGGATGCCAGGTCTACCCATCAGAAGCAACAGATGGAATATATGGAATATAAGTTCATCAGATGCAGGCCTAGGTCTTCTAGAAATTGTAGGCCTGTTCTCTCATACTAGTTACATTTGTTTGGAGTATTTGCTTTGCTGCTGCCTCTGGAAGGGGGGGGGGAATCCTTTGGATGGCCGTGGATGAGCTTAAAGTGAATCAAGAATGGATTGGAAATAAAGGCTTGGCTGTTGAGAAGAGAGTTGAAAAGGAGAGAGAAGCAGTAGAGAAGGAAAGATTGTTTCTGGTAGGAAGGTAGAAATGGAAGGAGAATATGAAGAGGACAAGTTTGAAATATCTAACAGAAAGTGAGAGAGTACAAAAAATTGTGATTGTAGCAAAGTTATGAATGTGTAAGCAGCAGAGAATGCATCTTGAAAATAAAAAGACTTTGGCAACTGGATAGTTGATGGAGTCAAACATAAGGCTAAGATTGTGATGGCGAAGATAAGGGCAACATTAACAGAATAAAAACAAAAAAATTCCTTCCAGTAGCACCTTAAAGACCAACTAAGTTAGTTCTTGGTATGAGCTTTCGTGTGCATGCACACTTCTTCAGATACGGTTGATGGACTTCCATTTCATGCAGCTCAATGTGGTGCCTTCCATAGTTCCAGTTACAGACAGGTATCTGAAGAAGTGTGCATGCACACGAAAGCTCATACCAAGAACTAACTTAGTTGGTCTTTAAGGTGCTACTAGAAGGAATTAACAGAATAGAGATTCATCCAGTTAAATTTATATTGGGTGTGGGGGTCATGGCACTCTCCTGCAGCATGTGAAGTAGCAGTTCTATAGGCACAGCAAGTCAGATGACCATTTAATTGGGGCAAGCAGCACCTGTTCGTATGCGAGCGGCACAGTAGTAAAGCACACTGTAGCTCCCATTTTGTTATAAGTGGCTAGCGCTGCCTTCAAATTCAGTGCCTTTTCTTTATCCATACTGTTGCGTCTAATCAGTGAAACAGGCCACAACTGTGTGTGTGTTTGGCCCACCCAATGTGCAATA